AGCCACTATTTTGTAAAGAAACATAAACTGTTAACAAAACTGTTGAGTTTCATGAGAGAAAAATGTTAAAATAATGCCAGTTGGGAACTGTTCATTCACTAGTGAGACTTCCAAAAAAGTAGCTAGAGTTAGTCATGTGTTATTGCAGGCCCTGGAAGAGCCCTAACTATGTACCCAGAACTGTTCTAAGGCTTTATACTAATTCATTCATCCTCAACAATCTTGTATCATTAGTGCCTTTTCACAGATGAGGTAACTGAGGCAGATTAAATAATTGTCCTTGGTTACACACCTGGTTTCAAGTGAATAACCAAGACTTAGTCTGAAGCTAGACATGCTCTCAACTATTAATGTTAGAAGGGCCTGAAATAGGTAACATGTACCTCCAGGAATCGGGCATGCAGAGTTTCCTCTGTGATGTCAAGCACTTCCGGGTTGTAGATGCTGCCATTGTCAAACACCTGCTGGATGATCAGCCCAAAGGAGAAGGGGGAGATGTTCAGCATGTTCAGCAGTGTGGCTTCGCTGGCTCCTACTTTGTCTCCAGTCTTAATCAGCTGCACATCACTCTGCAGAACAAGGCAACAAGTTAACACCGGAACATCCAGCAGATTGACAGCCACCAAAGGGATCCCCCACTACTGGCCTGGCTACCACTGGCAAGCCAGGTCCACTCACCAGGATTTCAATGGTGCCCCTGGAGATTTTAGTGGTGATGCCTAAAGCCTGGAAAAAAGAGGTCTTCTCTGGCCCCAGACCAGTGTTCTGGGCTGGCACAGTGACTTCACATGGGGCAATGGCACCAGCACGGGCAGCAGCTGGCACCTGAACAAAAACAAGAAATGTGAGTTCTCCCTCCACAGAGGACGGTCAATTTTGCTTTTAAGAAACCAAAATTGGTAATGTCTCTTGAGCCAACCCGATTGTCCTCTTACCTTATTGGCCAGGAGCATGTCCCTGATCTCAGTGAGGTCCTCCTTAGTGAACACAAAGCCCACATTCCCCCGGATATGAGGCAACAGTCTACAAAGAGAAGTTTACAGACAGGCGGTCACCTTTCAGCACCATTCTTCTCTAGGAAAAGGGAGAAGGGCACAGAGGAGGAAAGACAAAGATGCCCAGAAAATGAACTGACTTCTCCAGAGCTGGGTTGTTTTCCAGATGTCCTCGGATGGCCTTGCGCATCATGGTGTTCTTGCCCATCAGCACCACAGCCTTCCCGCGGAGGGACATGCGGATCTGCTGCATCTGCTTGGAGCCCACATTGTCGGCTCCCACAATGAAGCATTTTGGATAATCATCCAGAAGTTGCTACAAAAACCAGGTAGAAAGAAGCCAAGTTTAAGAGGAGGAGAAGGGGGGAAAAAAACATCAGGAGAAACCAAACCCCACGATGGCTGGTTTTCACCTCACTCCCTTTCTTCTATGCTTTTGAAGTGACTCAGAGATTGGACCAACTCCTCCCACTAGGAGCCACCTGAGTTGTAGCACTGCCAGATTTGTCAAAGATGTGCTTGCTAAGCATGAACAGTGAAAACCGGGTGGGTACAATCAAGAATTCTCACTTCAGCTCTCATTTTTAACATTTCCCAATTACGAGGTTTGTTTCTGATTCACTAAAATGGTTTAAAAGGAAAAAGCATGCCTCCTAAGGCTGGATTTACAGCATTCGAAACAGGAGGTAAAGCAAATACAAAGACACCTTACGTGTAAAATCTAAGCCTTCCTAAAGGTAACATTCATTCGGGTATTGGGTTTCTTGACTAACAAGACCTAACTATGCGACAACTTGACTTTTTATAAGTCACTCACTGCCTCACACCTTCCCAAAGATGGAACCAGAGGGCACTATTTGGAGTCCACACAGAGCTGGGAAGGATTGTCACTTAGTTATCTTAGGAGCCACAACTGGCCGAGCCAGTCTATCTGCAACAGGTGGGGGCGTCACGCAGATCTTTGGAAATTCTGAATTTTGAATGAGATTTGCCTAAAACGGCCCAGCTCAGCACATGGGAGCTCATGGTCCCTATCAGCTGGTGGCCGAGGCAGCACGACGGGCGGCAGGGGCCAAGCCCGCACTTACGATGATCTTAAGGAAGTAGTTGGACTTCCAGGTCGCCCTGTCTTCCCTGGGCATCACGGCGGTGCGTCAGGGATTGCCACGCAGGGTTTAAAGACGATGTCACTGAGGAGAGAGAAGGAACTTGAAACAGCCCGTCCCACCGCCCCATCGGACTCAAACCAGAGGCCTATGGGGAGCGGGCCACGCGTGAGCGCCCGCGGCCTGGCCTGGACTGCCGCCGCCACCACTCGGAGAGTGCGAGCCGCTGCCGAAGCTCCAGGCCACATAGGTCGGGACCCCGCGGCCTCCTAGTCTTTCTGCAAAGACGCCCATCCTTCCCGCCGCCAGTCCCCGGCACCACGACATAACTCCACCAACCTCTCACGAGGACGCCTGGCCAGAGGAAGGCCGAGCGCGGGCGTGCAGCTTTTATAAGTGAACAAAGCGACCAATCAGAAGCCTCGGACAGCGCCCCCACCTATTGGCTGACGCCGACGCCTGTCTGGCGAAGCGCAACTGACACAGACAGCCATTGGGTGATATGGCTGCCACTCCAACCTACAGGAAGTCGCCTTTAAGTAAGGAAGTTAAGAAAGAGCTGCCTTGTGTTGGAGGAGGGTTCTCAGGGCTGCTTCCCTCTGCTGGGCTGGAGCTGCTTTTGTGCCGGCGCGAGAATGTGTGGACTCCAGTCCCCAGTTTCCCCCGCCACCTGGTCATGTCTCAAACTAGAGTATGACGTGGAGCTGAGAAATAGTTGTACATGCCTTAGAAACAGAATGGTCTCTGTCCCCTTGACAGTGTGTACTTCCCCCTACCAAAACAGAGGGATCCTTTCCTCAACTGTTCAAAATTCTGCAAAGGCTTTCCATTTTCCACAAAGTAAAAAGCCTAAAACTTAAGTGGCCTACAGGGCCCTACATCATCCGCTCTGCACCTCTACCCCCTATAATCGAATCTCCTATTTTCCTACTGACTTAGTTTCTTCCAGCCAGACAATGTGCCTGCTTGAGGGCTTCTGCACCAACTATTCCTTGCCAATATCCACGCGTCTAACACCTCCTTCAAGGCTTGGGCCAAATATCACCTGCTCAACCAGGCCTACCCTGATTGCTATTTATTTATTTATTTATTTATATCCTCACCTGAGGGGAGAATCATGGACATGAAAGGGACACATCGAGTGGCTGCCACCCACACGACCAACCAGGGCCGGGGACAATCTGCAACCAAGGTACGCACCCTTAGCAGGAACTGAACCTGGGTCTCTCTGGACTGCAGGTCAAAGCTCTAACCACTGAGCAAAACCGGCCAGGCCTAAGATCCCTTTTTTAATGGCAAGGTATTACTGCATGCCCAGCATTGTGCTGGGTACTTTGTGCACATCACCACTGTTAATCTTTGCAACAATCCCCAGAGGAGGCACACTTTTAGTATTTCCGTTTTATTGATGAGAAAATTCAGAGAGGTTAAATAATTTGCCCAAGCCCTTCAGCCAGTTAATGATGGCATCAGAACTGAAATCTAGGAGAAAGTTCAAAGTCCATGGGTCTCACTATGCTATAGTTCCTTCCAAACCCTGAGACTGCCTCCTCCTAAACACTTTTCCAAGGATATACATACTCACAGGTACCTTCCCAGGGACATCCTGGCTCTGGTGATATAAATATCTCCAATTGTAGTACGTCAATATAATGGAATACCATGAAAACATTAAAATGATGCAGATCTGCCCTGGCCAGTTTTGCTCAGTGGTTAGAGCATCCGCCCACAGACCAGAGAGACCCAGGTTCGGTTCCTGCTAAGGGCACGTACCTCGGTGGCAGTTTGTCCCTGGCCCCCCGCCCCGGCTGGGGTTGTGTGGGTGGCAGTCAGTCGATGAGTCTCTCTCACATCGATGTTTCTCTCCCTCTCTTCCTCCCTCTCTCCCACCCACTCTATCTGAAGATAAAAATGCAAAAATGTCCTCAGGTAAGGATAAAAAAAAAAAAAGATGCAGATCTATATTTATTGACATGGGAAAATACTCAGAGTGCACTTGAGTAAAAAAGCAAATTACAAGGAATTGTACCAACTCCATTTCTATAAATAAAATAAAACCTACATGGGCTGGAAGGATAAACCAAGTAATTATCTTTGTGTGAGTGGTGGAGGTAATTTTCACTTCTGAGCTTACTATGGAACGGGTAGGGTTCACGCTAGAATTCAACATGTGGCTTTAGGAGGGCCATTCCAAGCATCAGAGCAACTGAAGCCACAGCTCAAGGAGGCACAACACTGTCCAGGAAACTCTCGAGGAGGCGGGGGAGTGGGGTTGGCAGGACTGGGGAGGCGAGGTGGGCTCCCCACCCCCAGCAGAACTGAAGTTCTGGCTGACAAAAGGAAGTCTACAAATATGAACCTGACCACTAGGGGTGCAGTAGAGCCCAATTGCCAACTTCCACCCCCTTCAGGTGGGAGGGTTCTACACCTAAGGTGCTGTGCCAGCAGGTGGGGGTGAGGGTGTCTGGTCAATGCAGGAACACAGGCAGAGGCAAGCCTTGGGTTCGTACATCCTGTCTGCACTGACTCACACTGCCTTGTGCATGTTGGCTCTCCTCTCTGAACCTCTTTCCCCATCTGCAAATGAGTGTAAGACCATCCACCGGCTCATGTGAGGATGCCCGTGGGGAATCCAGGGCAAAAGTCTTCGTGCAGGCCTTGCCTGGGCTGCTCCCCAGACTTCCCTTGCCTACAAAGCTCACACAGGGAGCCAGGAGGTCTGGTGCTTCACACACTAATGTCTTGTGGGGCAGGGGCCCATCCCCAGGGCTTTTTGCCTCAAGTAAGGTAACATGGATGATTTATCCTCAGTGTGGTCCTTATGCGTCTGGGAGGGTTTGGTCTCTCTTCTGGGACTAAGCTGTTATATCAAACCACAAGGAAAAGGCAGTAGCACAGGTCAAAATAATGGCAAACTTTATTGGCATAAATCACAGGAATCGAAATGAGGAAAAGCCAGGTTAAAAGTTTAGAGAAAAAAAAATTAAAATCAATTCATCAAATAACCATTGACCCAGAGGGTGGACCCCAGAAACCCGTCCCTCTAGGGGAGGGGTCTGGGGCGGGTCACTGTAAACAGAGCAATAAGGCCTATGGGTGGAAGTGGAGATCTCAGACCTTTGAAGGGGCCTGGCTGACCTCTCCAGACCTGGCTGCTCCCAGCCCTGCCACAAAGGAGGGACCCCCGCCTGACCCCAGCACACTCAGCCTTTGCTATGAGGCTAACAGAGTGGTCTGGATCTTACTCACTTTAGACCCCATTGGGGCCCCTCTTTACTGACCAGAAACCCCAGGCCTGCCTGCTCCTGTTTCATCCTTGGGGAGAAAGCTCTGGAGACTTTCCATGGCTTCAGCAGGATCCTGTCCCTCTGCCAGAATCCTATCAGGCTCCTTCGCAACAACCTGGGCCCTTTTCCTCAGACCGCCGGTTTCCAAGGAGGGCAGGACATTTGGGAAAGTGATGAGCCCAGTGGAATCGATAAAACCAATGGTCAAAATCAGATACCAGCTTTCCTGAGGAGGCAGAAGGAGCCCCAGAGAAGCAGTGAGGAGGCCGAGAATGTTCAGCGGGTTCTTTTCGATACCAAAGAGTTCACAGGGGAGCAGATGCTCCTAATGGCTAAGACAGGTAACAGCACCCCCAAAACATACTTCCCCTTCTCCTCCCTAGGGAATAGGATGGATGAGGTTCAGAATCCTAGGCCCAAAAGGCCAAGACACCCTTAGGCCAATTTCGCTTAAGAGCTTGCTGGCCTGGGTAATGAGGAAGGGGTTTAAAAATACAGCAGTTTATAAAACAGTCCTGGTGAGCCATGAAGTTAAAGAAGGGGAATCTCAGAGCTGCTCCCACTTCACCTGCTTAGGCTAAGAAAAAATAAAATACAAATGGCTTCCCTACCCCAAGCCCTCAGTACAAGGCAAACCCTGTCCCACGGCCACTATCACCCACAGGACCAGTGGCGGCGGACAAGGGGAGAGTACAAAAGGGGATGTCTTTAAAATATCTTCAAAATCATTTTGTATAGAGAAGTAAAAGCAACTCAGACAATACGAATTCAAACCTCAGTGTAGAAATCTATCAAAGTAGATACAGTGTCCAGGCACGAGGTGAAACGCCGCACCTCACGCTGTCCCCGGAGACGGAGGAAGTGACTATAAAACATTATTGCTGGAGAGGCCTGTCTCAGTAGAATCAGAGCAGTTATGGGGGCAGGGGGCAGTCACCCAGGCCTGGGAAGACTGGAAGGACAGGAGGAGCACAAGGAGCCTTCCGTGGCCCCTGGGCACTTCAACCTTTGGATGGATGGATTTATGCTGGCATTGTCTGGAGGGAGCGGGTGTCCCCCAATACTCTCGGAACAAGGATAATTCAGTCGGACGGAAATAAAGATAAAAAGAGACCCCATCTGACTCTGCCTGCCCTCCCCCTGGCTCCACTGCCAAAATATGAGTAAGAGATGGCTCCAGTGTGGGGTGCTGGCCTGGCCAGGCAGGTGTGTGGGTGGAGTCCTCCAGCCCCATCTCTGGGGAGGATAAGGAGCTGGCGGCCCGGGTGCCGCTGCGGGAGGAGGGGAGGCCCAGGGGCTCTGGCAGAGGCGGAAAAGCAGGCGGGACCCTCTGAGGCCCTCTTGCCACCCTGCACAGCCAAGGACACGAGTTCCAGTTTCAGTGGGGCTTGGCCCTTCAGCCCTGGGCGAGGCCTCTGGGTCACAGTAGCAGTTAGGGAGGCTGGGCCAGGGGAAGGGCAGCCGGAGGGATGAGGGCGCCTAGCAGAAGAGCTTGAGGAAGCAGTTCTGACAGTAAGGCTTGTCGTTCTGCTCCTTGAAGGTGCCCTTGTTGAGCTGCTTGAGGCAGAAGGCACAGACGAAGTGCTCTGGGTGGAACTTCTTGGCCATGGCGGTGATGCAGCGGCCCGTGATGGGCTTCTGGCAGCCGGAGCACAGCGAGCCGCGCCGCTCGTGGTAGTGCACCTCGCAGTAGGGCTGCCCGTCGTGCTCGAAGAAGCTGCCATTGACGAACGGCGTGAAGCATTCCTGCCAGGCGGAGGGGGTGAGGTGGAGGGGAGGGTCTCAGCCTGGCGCAGGGGGCTGAGGCAGCTCCAGGGGTGATGGGCAGGAGACAGGCATGGCTGTCACACTCCCACTTGCTGAGCACTTCCTACGTGCCAAATGCTGTGCTAAACGCAACTGAAATCCCAACAGAGGAGGCAACTAGGGTGTGGACTTAAATGACTTGTCCAAGGTCATACAGCTACTAAATTGCACAATTTGGCTGCCCAGCCAGTGTGGCTCAGTGGTTGAGCATCAGACCCATGCACCAAGAGATCTCCGGTTCGATTCCCGGTCGGGGCACATGCCCGGGTTGTGGGCCCAGTCCCCAGTGGGGGGCATGCGGGAGGCAGCCAATCGATGTTCTTTCTCATCAATGTTTCTATCTCTCTCTCCCTTTCCCTTCCTCTCTCTCTAAAATCAATAAAGAAAAAAAAATTTTTTTTTAAATTGCACAATTTGGATTTCAATGTAGGTCTGACTCCTGAGCACTTAACTGGGAGGCTGTACTGGTGTGCCCCCAAAACCCCAGCGCTGAAAAAAGGGTTCCATGGTCAAACTCTGCATCCTAAGTTTCTGTGTAGAGATTCACATGCACTCTAGGGGATAAAAGGCCCTGAGAAGTCCTGCAATGCAGTGTTTCACAAACTTATTGGGTCAGAGAACCCTTGTTGGACCCCCAGTAACATCTGTGGACTCCCACGACCCGCCAGATTACAGTGTGAAAACCAACGGCCAATTCCTCGGAGGCTGAAAAATGCTTGCATTATCTCATTTAATCCCCACAGGCCCTTTTCCTGAATGTGATAGGCCACCGCACAGGACGAGGCTACAGACACATCTGCCTTGCTCTTGGTGTCTCCTAGCATCAATACAAGCTCTGGGAAGGACCCACTGGACTTGACGAAGTGTACCCCCAAAGAAGGCCTCCAAGTTGGAGCCGAGAATACAGTGAGGGAGGCCCTTCTCTCCCCACTGCCCAGTGCCCTTCAGATGCAGGGGCAGGGGCACCTTACCCGGCACACGAAGCACTCGGGATGCCAGAGGGTGTTGAGGGCTGAGATGTAGTTCTCCAGGATGGCCCGGGCGCAGCCGCCGCACTTGGGCGCGAACATGTCGAAGTAATCCTTCCGGCAGTAGGCCTTGCCATCTTTTTCGTGGAACCCTGAGGAGCGGGGGGTGTGGGGGGCAGTTACGGCCTCCGGAGGTGGAGCCCCCACCTCCCCGACACTCCCAGGGACAGCAACAGTCTGCTGGTCAGTACCTTCAGGACCGAAGAAGGCGCCACACTGGGCACAGAAGAAGTGCTCGGGGTGCCACGTCCGGTCCAGGGCTGTCACCACTTTCTGTGAAAGCAAAGTGTGGGGTCAGAGCCAAGCTGACATCCCACTGGACAGACTCACAGGCCAGGTTGTCCCTCCCACCCCCACCCACAGCTCCCAGCCAAGGAAAGAGCAAAGGCTGCCAGAACAGGGTCTCTCCTGACTGCTCTGAACACCACCGAGATCTGGTTTGCTGAAGGAGGTGACATGTCAGTCTCCTTTAACGCTCACATGCGGTGGAGGTCACAGGTTCTACTGTGGCTCCCATTTTATAAAGGAAGACACCTAGGCTCAGGGAGGCCAGGCATTTCCCTAACGTCACACGGTGGGAGAGAAGGAGCTGGGACTTCACTCCAATGATCTGGGCAGGGCTCCTAACCCCTGAGCCTCCACAGATGGAAGCTGGGACGGGAGGCAGATGGAACGTGGGCGGCCTGCCGTACATTAGGACTGCCGAGCCCTGGCCGGTTTGGCTCAGCGGTTAGAGTGTCGGCCTGCGGTCCAGAGGACTGCCATGAATCGGGCCTGGGTTTGAATCCCAGACCCACTGTTTCCTAGTCGTGTGAGCTCGTGCATGTGAAGGGACCTCTTTGAGCCTCAGATGGCACCACCTGCACACTCCGAGGGTGACAGTGAAGCAGAAATGAGCCAACGCTGCTGCTCCCCACCATGCCGGGAACTCACATCCAGGATGGGACCGTTGCAGTAGTAGCAGCGCGGGGAGAAGAGGGTGTGATAGTCCTTTTCACAGTAGGGCTGTCCGTCCCGCTCAAAGAAGTTCCGCGACCCGATCTCCTCCTGGCAGTGGGTGCAGACGAAGTGCTCGGGGTGCCATGTCCTCCCCATGGCCGTCACAACCTGAGGAGGGAGGCAAAGTGTGGCTCAAGGCCCTGGCCTGCCACAGAGCATCCTTTCCAGAGGAGCCAAGGTCCCTGAGCCCACCTGCTGTTCTCTTCCCTGCCCTGCCCCCACCCCTCATCACCTGCCCAGCGATGGGCTTCTTGCAGGCCCCGCAGACCCCTTTGGCGACTGTGGCAACTCCCAGTTTGTTCAGGTCGGACTGCAGGCTCCCCAGCATGCTGTCCAGCTGGCTCCCAGGCTTTGGGGGCCCCCCAGGGGGAGAGCTGCTCCCCGGCTTCCCCTGGGCCATGAACTGTGGAAACAGAAAGGGCAGGTCAGGACTGGAGGCTTTTCCCCTCCTGAACACGGGCTGATGGAGCAAGAAGTGCCATCTCCTCCAGGGGCCTCAAGAGCCCCAGAGGTGGGAATGACGTCCGCAGGACATCTGGTGTCAGGGGCTCGTGGCACCGCAGGCCTGCCCGCGGCTGGGAAACACGGCAAGCAGGACACTGAGCCCCCAGCCTTGGCACTGACCCCTCCCTCGTCCTGCCCTTCGGGACTGCGCTGCCTGCCATTCGGAGGCCAGCCCGCCGCCCAGCACAGCTCTCCGTCCGCTCTTTGTTCCAGGCCCTGGATCTTAAATAGGAGAGAAAACGAGGATAAGAAAAAAATTGTTTTAATTAAGAAAGAAAAAGAAACCTTGTTATTGGATCATTTCACAGAAGGAAATTTAGAATAACACCCCCCCCCCCCCAGCAATACCAAAATCAGGAGAAAAAGTCTAGAGTGTCCCAGGGAGAGAAGAGAAGGTGAGCCAGCCAAGGCAGGGGACCCAGAAAGGGGAGGGGACTGAGGCCAGAGAGGGGAGGCTTTCCAAGTATTGGGCCTGGGGGTCGCGGGGTGGGGAACAGGTTTTGGTCTCCTTTCTGGTACTGCCCTTTCTCAGAGGGAGCCGGGGCAGGACCAAGGAGCAGCGGGAGGGGGCAGGCAGAAGGGAGCCCCATGGGCAAGCCAGAGGACAGCTGATGTCCAGGGAGGGTGGGAACTTGGACGTCAGGAAGGACTGAGGTACTGTGCCGGGCTTGTGGATGAAAGAACAGAGGGCGTATGTGTGCAGAGTGGGGACGGGTAGGGCTCACGCTGGGGCCCCAGGGCCTGCCTGCATCGGGGGGAACATCGGGTCCTCGTCAGTCTGGCAGCCCACCGACCTCGCAGTGTGGGGCGCAGAAAGGAGAGAGGTGGGCCCCTGCACATGTTCTTCCTGCAGCCCTGCCCCAGCACTCTGGACCCCAGGAGACCCACAGGGAAGAACTGAGGGCCCCAGGGTGGAGTGGGCAGGCAGGCTGCGTGGGGGAGAAGAGCTGGTGGCCATGCCATCTCTGTGATGCTGGAGTAAAGGGACAGGAGGAGGAGAAGGCAGAACAGAGAAGGTTCTTCTCAAAGGAATGGGAGAGCCAGGAGGGAAAACAACCTGGGGAGAAGAAAGGAAGGAGAAAGATCAGGAAGACGGAGAAAACATCAGCTCAGCAAGCAAGGGCACAGAGCCGTGATGTCCCCAGGCTTCCCCGGAACTTCCCACTCTGACTGGACTCTCCAGGCCACAGGATGCAGGACCTCCCCACACACACACCAAGCTCCCCTCTGGCCAGAGCTGGGAAAGAATCAAGATGCCTGCTGCCCTGGTCCTGGCCCAGCTCTGGGCATCTCCTTGCTACCTTCTCTACCAGCTGCCCCTCAGCCCGCCTCCCTCGAGGCTGCACAGTAATGACGACGCCCTCGGTCATCCAGTCCTCGGTGGAGGCCCCCGCTGGCCCTGCAGCCTCCTCTGCCTCCGGCTGGATGCCCAGCCGACCCTGCAGCTCTGCGATGAGCCGCTCCTGGGATGGGGTCCTGCTCAAGGTGGCGGGGTCCAGCCGGCGGCGAGGGGAGGGCTCCCGGGACATGGGGTGCGCGTGGCCTGTCTCGCGGCTCCTCCTGATCACTGAGCGGATCTGAGGAGGGAGGAGGAAGCTGTCATGGCCTCACTCTGGGCTCTGCCAATGCTGCTCAGTCCACACTCAGGTGCCCCAGGCAAGGGAGGGCTGAACAAACCGGCCAAAGAGCCAAGCTGAGGGGGGCGGAGGCAGGGGCGGAGCAGACTCCCAGGCTCAGCTCCTTTTCGGCTCGGACCCTGGGCAAGACACTTCACTTCCAGGCCTCAGCTCCTCCATCCATGAAAGGGGGTTAGTACTTTCTTGGCTGCCTTACAGGGTTATTATGAGAATTATTTGAGAGAACGTGAGTGGGCATTCTTGAAAGTATGTAAGGCTTCTTTTTGATTTGTAATAAAAAATGTGGTCTTTCCTTCCAAATCTTCTAACCAATTTTTTCCCTCGTTTATATTATAACCTACTGGTTTGTAGTAGTCTTGCTTTTTTGTTTTTGGAAAAGGCATGAAGTTTCAGTCAAGCAAAAAGCAAATACTAACAGTAACATCAGTCATGGCTTACTGAGGACCATATGCTGTGTTCTGAGCACAGTCCAGCCATTATTTCATCTAATCCTCTGCACAACCCTGTGGGGGAAGGTCTATTTTTACCCCCATTCTAAAGATGAGAAAACTGAGGCTGGTAGAGGGTTGCCCAAAGTCACACAAGTAGCAAGTGTTGGAGGCAGGATTTATATTCCGTTCTATCTGGTCCCAAAGCTCATGCTTTTAACCATTTCGCAGACATCCCCTCAGGATGTCAGGGGAGTTCATTTAAGGAAAAAGCCTTTAACAAGCAAGAAGCAGGTTGTCACTAAGAGAGACTGCCAGCCCCAGGGCACTCCACTGGCTCCACAGAGCCCATTGTCGAGAGCTGGTCATCGGGGTAGCAGGCCACGATATCCCAGGATTCGCTGCCCAAGCAGACATGCGTGGAGTGGGAGGCTGCATGCAGTTAGCCAGGAGTGGCCCACACTCAGCCGGGCGAGGACCAGGCCAGCAGCCGTGCGAGCTTCCGCCTGCCTGGCCAGAGGTGGAAATCCGTTCGGTGGTATTGAGCGTGTCCATGACCATGGCCTGTGGAAGCTCCGGCTGTTCCCTCTTGGTCTCAGCAGTGGCTTCAGTGGTGCCCTCTGGCCTCCTGGGTATCTCGGGCCCCCGGAATGGCCTGACCAGGCTTCCCTTCATGGGCATCGCTCCACCTAACTGCTCCTGGTCACCCGGAGCAGGGCAGCTGCTCTCCGGCCCCGCTGGCTCTGGCCTGGCCCTCTCCCTCAGCTGTCCACGTCCCTTCGTGAGACCCCAGGTATCTGGGAAGACGATCTGACGGTCTACGGCCATGACGGCTGGCTCGGTTACTTCCTGGAAGTTGGGTGTAGCTCTGCAGGGAGTCTCAGGCCTGAGCGCCTCCAAAGCCCACGGCTGCTCCCATGTGGCAGCCGAGGCCTCCTCTGGGTACACAGGGTTGGCTGACAGCCCTTGGGGGCCTTCAGGCTCCTGGGGACCTACATACCCAGCTCTGGGTGGAATGTGGCCTGGGGGAGCCCTGGAGAGCTCACTCGTGAGGTTTAGTCCATCCCTCCTACCTCGAGCCTGGCTCTCTGCACCAGATGGCCCCAGAGAACCCTCCACAGAGGAAGAGTTGGGGTTGTCAGGTGTGACCCCAAGGCCAGCCAAATCAAGCCAGCTAGGAGCCACAGGAGGTAGAAGGTCCTGTCCATTATCATTATTTTTTATGCAAAGGACCTCCGGAGTGTGACCATGGCCTCCAGGGGAGGGTTTAATAATGGATGGCAAGACTACAGAGGGCCCGGGAGGAGGAGGAGGAGAAGGAAGTGTGTGGTGTGAGGATGGAGCTGAGCTGGGCAACAGTGAGTTCAAGGCCACAGTAGAGGAGCTGGTCTGGAAGAGGAGAAAGACAAAGGTAGAGAGAAGACAAAGAAATAGGACAGGTGAGGAAGAATCTCACTGCAAGGGGGGCTTGACCGCAGGGCTCTGCGAGCCGCCACCTACACTGACCGGGGTGGCTGCAAAGCGGAAGCACGAGGCCTGGCCCTGGTGGGAGGCCCAGACACCCAACAAGATTTTCCTGGGCAACGAGTCCTTGGCCCCCACCGAACCCAGGCAGCAGGAAGCGGCCTCTGAGCAAAGCCTGTGGAGTCACCCCAGTCAGAGCAGGTAAGAGGGAGGAAAGCTAAGGGGAGCTGGCGTGAGAGACAGGTGACCAGGGAGGTCAGCCCAGGCAGCTGCTCTGCCTCCTCCCACCTAGTTCAATTCTCGGCTTGGTCTCTCCCAGACAAACCCAGCTTCCCTCTGTCCCCGAGACCTTGCTCTAGGCGCACGGCCACCGCCAGCTCGGCTTCCCGCGGGACAGCACGACACTGGCTCTCAGAAGGCAGCATCACTGTCGAGGTGCTGGAGCAGGGCTCCCTTAGGCCAGTGCCTGGGTCCGACACACTGGCTTCTGATCGGCTGCTCAGAACTGCCAGCAGCTCATCCCACCCTCCCGGCCCCATCCCCACCCCCCACCATAAAACCTCAGTGAAAGGGAGGTTTGGAGGCACCATCAAGGCCAGGAGCACATGGACCACTTGCTCCCCTTCTCGGATTCCTTAAGTCATGTGCCAAAGATCAACCCACATGGAAAAGTGCAGTCAGCAATTGGAGAGTTCGGTCAATACCAGTCCCCGTGAAGGCACCGCATCTTCTCAGTACACCTCTGGCTCAGGAGGCCTGGGAGGCCCAGAAGGGGAGCGGAAGGGGCACTGGATGCAGGGCTGGCTCAGTAGCCTGATAGGTTAGGTTTCCACAGACAGAATCTGTGGGGATTCAGAAGCCCATGGAGGAAGAGGGGGCAGGCCAGGAGGCTGGCAAAGGAGGCGTGTGGATTCAGAAGCCGGAGGCACAAAGAAAGAGGACGTGTTGAGGACAGCCAGCGTGGGAGATGGGGCTCCAGGACAAATGACCTCTCAGGCACAAGATCCCAAGTCCCGCATGGCCCAGCAGAGAATGCCCTCCCCCCGCAAGAGCACATGGACAAAGGGCCCTTTGTTGCAGCCTCCTGACCCCCGCCCTGGGAGCTGGGAGCTGGGAGCCCACGAGGAGGAATGTCCCTGCGAGCACTCTCTGCCTCCACAGGCTTCGAGGCAGCTCAGCCCCCAGCCTGCCCGAGCCTCCCTCCCCCATATCCTGGCAAGACCAGGGCACTGAGAGGTCCTTGGCTCAGGCCAAGGCTCCCAAACGGAGGGGCCGAGTTCCAGCTACTCACATTGAGGTACAGAAGGAGAAGAATGGGGGAGACATGGACAGGGAAGAGGGACTTTGGGGCACCTTAAAGTCCGACAGGGAGGCCATCAGCTCGTCCAGCTCCCTGGTGGCAGAGGAGGCCGAGATTCGTGTCTGCTGCTGGCTGGAGGTGACTCGCTGAGGGCTGCTCATCTCGCCCTGGTTCACAGTGATGGCGGGGCTGCAGGGCAGGCATGACATCAGCGGGAACCCCAAGTTCAGCCCTATGCTCCCCCAGAGCGGCCCTCCCCTCTCAGGAGACCAACACGTTAGCTCTGACATCAGGGTCCCACCACCCCCAATCCCGGGAAGCCCACTAGCTCCCCATCTGTTCTGGGGAGGGGCTGCTGTCAGCCAGGGGGACAGAGCTCTGAGAGCTGACATGGGAGAAGAGAGGGCCACGCAAACAGCGATCTCCCCAGGAAGATGCCTCTAGTCCGCCAGCCCAAGTTCAAGCTTGCCTGTTAAACCAGCCCGAGCACCATGCACCCTCCACAGCACTGCAAGTACAAGGGCGACTGTTCCAGCAACACGGTCACACCAAGAACAGCTAACATTTAGAAAGCACTCCCCATGTACATCACCTGCTATGAGCCAAAAACCATTCCAGGTGCGTTTCGTGTATGATTGGGTCTACCCTCACTGAGGCCCCATTATCCCACACCCCCTAACCCCATTTTACAGATGGAAAAACTAAAGCTTGAGAGACACTTCATAAGGGCACAGCCAAGGTCTGAACCCCACTGTGTGGCTCCAAAACCCGAGCTGACAGCCACTAAGCTGCAGGCGTCCTCGCACGCATCATGTCTATCTTTTCTGGTGGATGGTGGCAGGAATGGTGTCCATGTGACTCATCACTCTCCCCCCAGAGCCTGGTGCAGGGCCTGGCAGACAAGCACTCACGGAGGGAATGGCTGACACAGGGGCTAAGCGGGAAGATACAGCACGGGCACTGAGCGAGACCGCCCTGTCTGGGTGAACCCAGCGGACACTCACACGGGGCTGGGCACGGAGCTCTCCAGTTCATCCAGGAGACTCTCCACGCTGGGCCGCACGTCCTCCAGGCCCCGGGCCCCGTTCCGCTTGGGCTTCTCTTTCATCGGGGGCCCAGCTTTGATCCCCAGCAGGCTGTTATTCTCCGGGATGCCATAGTGAGGGCTCAGAGCCCCAGGCAGCGGGGGGCTTGAGTTGGCCTCATCTTGGAAGAGGGAGAGAGAAGGACTACTCAGCCCCGAGCCAGTGGGTAGGCCCTGGGGGGTTTGGGAGGCCCCTGCCCCGTCCCACCTGCAGGGAAGCCTGGGGGGTTATGCTGCACTGCGTTCAGCTCCAGCAGCAGGCGGTCAAGTTCTGAAAGGTTGCTGCCCAGGGAGGAGCTCATCACAGTGGGTGAAGGCTCAGCCGACTTCTGCTTGTTGGGGAAGCTTTGAGAGAGAGAGAGAGAGAAGACCACATTGACAGACACTCCCTAGCTTTGACAACCCTGATCCTCCAGAATAAGGCACAGGGGACAGGAGGTCTCCCGCAGCAAGAGGACGGAGAGTGGGGAAAGGATGTGGTAAGAAGAGGGGAGGAAGGAAGCCCTGCCTCTCAGTTCCTCAACTCCATGGAGTGACATGACAGCTGAGGGAACATGGAGATGGCAGTGATAAGGCCACCAGGCCAGTCAAGAGGCATTATGAGCTGGCCACAAGCCCCGGGCCTTCCACAGGTTAGCCCAATGACCCAAGGCAGAGCCTCGTGGGGCCGCGGCCATGCCTGATCCCTGGCCTCAGCTGCCTCCAGCCCTGGCCAGTCCCCCGGATTTCCAAACAGGAAGGAAAGGCGCGCAGGCAGGAGCTGGGGCAATACCTGTAGACGTGCTCCTCCTCACCGGCTCGGGGACACGGAGGGCCGCCGCCGTCCTGGGGGATGGAGGCACTGGACGTTTTGGCACTGGAGCCGTACACGGGCGGCAGGGGCTGGGGCTGCAGGAAGGAGAATGCTCAGAGCCTCCCAGGGAGAGGAAAAGGAACAGTCCGAGTCACCCCCAGGAAGCTGCTGCTCACAGCCAGTCTCACCAGGGAATTTCCACGCTCTGGCTGGAGACAGGTGATTAACACTTGGTCACTGCCCCCCTCACGTGGGGTCTGGTGGGGAGAGGGGGACGTTTCTTGGCCCCTCTCCCTTTCCCTGAGCCCAGTCCTCCCCTGGCTCCAGAAGCCGCTGCCAGAGAGCTCTGTTCGCCCCAAAGCCTCTGGGAGCTTCAGCCCGTCTTCACTTACCTGCTGGTGGATGAATCGGGAGGCACTGGGCTGCCACTGGTCTAAGGGGTCAAGGAGTGCGCCATTGAGGGCCTCGCTGGACGGGGGTGGAGGGACAGGGGGTGGCACAGCAATCTCCTGGTATGTGTGGTTTCCAGTTGGGTAGGAGTAGGGAGTCTCCTCCGACAAGAACACAGGCCGCTTAGAGATGTGAGAGGTGGTAGACTCCAAGTCCTCCAGCAGGGCGTCTGCAGAGAGAAGCGTGGGGAGTGGGTAGGAAGCAGGGATTCTGGGAACTAACTCTCCAACAGCAGTGACCTGCCGGCACCCAGGAGTTAATGATATGAGCACCTGCCCCACCCATGGGAGAAGTGACTAGCCTCAGGTCAGGAAGTTACCAGCTCAGCGCAGCCTGGCTAGGAACCAGCTCTCAAAGCTGATCTCTTCATCCCAGCCCCAGAGTGAAGTGCTCTGGCGGCTCCTGGGGCTGCCCTTGAGGCTCTCCTACCTCTGGGAGTCAGCACCTTCCTTCCCTCTGGGCAGGGCTGAGCTGCTGGCTGGCCGGGAGTCAGAAGTGCCTGCCTGGAACTCTGTGCTCTGACTCCGCAGGGCAAGGCGGCGAGAATGAGTGGGAGGGGCCCCACGTCATGGGGAGGGGCCGGGGCAGGGCCAGGTCCCACTTAATTTTCAAGAGTTTAAAGCTTTCTCAGCCCCTACATTGGAGGGGCCCCTGGGGTGGTACCTGTCTTCTTGACCGGCTAGAAGCAGAACCCCAGGCTCTGAGCTCCTTTCAGGCTATGGGGAGCGGTGTGTGGGGAGGTGGGGGCTGGGACTAGGGTGGTGCGGTGTTCCCTACCTCCTTGGCCAAGCCGAGGTGGGGGGTGGGGGGGTGGCAGAACTACTCCCGTAGGCTGTTTCTGCGGAAGCCTGGCAAGCAGCCTGGCGCTAGAGGCTCCAGGGCCCCACTATTCTGCTTTTACCAGCAGCAAGGGAGCTGAACTGGCCCTCGAGTGCAAGCTTCCATTACTCTGGCACCAGGCAGACAACAGCGGGGCCCTGGATCTCCCCAGTCCCCAGACAAGAAGGGTACAGTAGGAGAAGCAGGAGGAGGAACTGCTGACCTCCCCCTACCTCATCCCTCCCCTTCAGGGACCTTCACCAGCCCCACAACCCAGAGAGCCTGGCCCCACATGCCACACCCTCATTCCTGCCACACTCAGGGACTTGCTCACTCACCTCTCTGCTGACCTGCTGGGGACACAGTCCCTGGCCCTTGGAGTAAAATCACGAGAAAGCAGTGGCTGCATTTATTGCCATTTACTAGTGACAGGCACAGTGCTGGGCACTTTGCATTCACAATTAATCCTCCTACTACCCCAGGAGGTAGAATTCTGATTCTTCCTGTGCAGACAGGAAAACCAGCTTCCAGAGATGGTGGGACCCGCTCCAGATCAGAGCCAGGGACAGGACAATCTGACTCCTGAGAAGCCCCAAAGCCCCAAAACCTGGCAAGAAGCTGCTCTAATCACTAGACAATGCCACACTTAAACGGTACAACTTCCTGCCGGACAGGCCCACGCTCCCAGGGCTGCCAGTCTGATCCCTCCTTGTGGCCCTGTCCTCAACCCCACCCCAGCTCAGAGAAAGTAAGAGGGAAGGAAGGCCCTCTCCTCTGTGGGCCCACACCTTCTCCCAGGCGCCTGCCCTGCTCTCCTTCCCCCAAGACCAGCCACACCTACCCCTGTCTCCCTCCCAGTGATTCAGAGGGGAAGCTTGTTCCAAGGCCCAGGATCCCAGGCTCCAAAGCCCAGGACAGGTCTCCTGACTTCTGAGAAAGGTCAGTTCCTGCAGCCTCCTCCCACTCCAGGTCCTTTGGAAGAGATCTGGCTTCCTGTCTCTAGCAAACCGGAACTAGACCAAGTCAGTGTGTGTCTAGGTAACAGCAGAAAAGAAACCAGTGTCCAGGGCCAATCCCAGCGGCCTCTCCGCAGCCACACCTGCTGCACTGGCTTCATCCAGAGTCCCCATTTCCTCTGGGCCCACTCCAGCAAGAGTGGGGTTTCTCCTTCAACCTGGGCAGAGCCAGCCAGGAAACCCCACAGGGCTCCCCCCAGCAGGCGACAAGAGCAACCCCATCGGGGTGACAGGAGCAGCTGCCATGCCTGAACACCCACTACGTGCCAGGAGCTTCACCTGTGTCACCCCCCTCACACTAGTTCAGGTGATAAAACAGGCTCAGAGGCGGAATCACAACCTCACACTGCCAAAGCCAAACTGAAATGACACAGCTGGGATGTGAACTTGGGTTTCTTGAGCCCCAAACACTCAAAAGAAGACAGATGGTTCATCTTTCCTATCAAACCTTGAGTCAGGGATGCCACGGCCCTCTGCATCAAACACCCTCCCCTGTCACTCAGGCTACGACTCTAAGTCTGGCTTACTGTTTATGGACTGGATTCTGGTTTATTATTTCAATGGGCTCTTTCAACAAGGATACATCTGTTGGTCGGAAGGCACGGTCCCGGAGTACAGAGACAAAAGATCTTAAGTTCTGGAGTTGAGCCAGAGCTGAGTTCAATTCCCAGCTGCTCTTTCCATTATCCATGGCCACACAGCAGAATTACTTAGCTTCCCTGAGCCTCAGTTTCCCCAGTCTTCGGGGGTGGTTTACGTGGCACAGACAGATGCTACAGTGCGCGTGGAAAGCTGCAAACATCGGATCTTATTTGCTTTGTGAAATTCAGAAAAACATCTTCCTGCAAGGAAATAAGGGTGGGATGCAAAGTACTGACTTCTCCCAAGTCTTCTATGGGTAGAATCTGGGCAAGACAAGGAAAGGATGACCTTGAAGAGAAAGGCAAAGTAATAAAGTGACATTCAAAGTGAAATGTGTGGATGTCCGGGAGAAGGCACATCATTTTCCAAACATAGTCACAGGGTCTGTGGTGCATGTAGCTTCCTCCTCTCTCTCCACCCTTCGTCTTTGTCCAGTGACTAGACAGGGCTTAGTGTCGCTGTCCCCCAAAACTTTCTACAAACACCTCAGGAAAGAGAGCCAGGAACGCAGGCGGCAGTACTCTGACCCCGCCGTGGATCCTGTGGTGCAGGCGCCTGCTCTCTCCCGGCTGCACAGTGGTTACAGGCCAAAGTTTCCTTGCAAGTTCAGCAAACTCCTCCCCTGCTTGAATACACAGAGGTGGCCGAGGGAGGACTGCACAGAGGAGTCCACTTGCAGGCAGTGCCCCAGAGGGAGGGGTCCCCAGTTTTCAGCTACAGCTAGTCCTGGCACCCAGCTCTAAATACCTAGAGACAGGCTCAGAGATTCCTTCTACGCATGCCCCAAAGGAGGTGGCAGAGAAGAGGGGGCTGACTGGAACACAGGGGCAGTGGTGCAGAGTCGGGGCTCGCTCATTCAGGCTAAGGAAGGCCTCCCTCCGGGCCTGAGACCCTCCCAACAAGTCAGCGCCGCCAGGACTGCCCCAGTCACGCTGCAGAGGGAAGCTCTCCCTGGGGCTTCCCAGCCCCTTTCTGGAGGAAACCACCTTAGATTCTGAAAGCGTTTTGCTTCTCTGGGCCAGCTGGAGCTCTTCCTTTCCAATGTGTGTGTGGAAGAGGAGGTTCTCCTCTCCAAACTGGGGGCTAAGAGGGGCAAGGGCGCTGAGTGCCAAGTCTCCCGCCAGCAAAGGCCACTCAGCTACACCCTGGCAATGAAGGGGTGCAGACTGTCCACCGCTTCCCGCCAGAGGGCGCTATTGGCCCACCAGCTCCCCGCCCGCCAGGAGTAGTAACCAGCGCTAACCTGGGAAGCTCGGCTGAGCTAGAGGAACAGAGCAGGCTCCGAGGAAAAGCATGAGGTGGTCTGGGTGCTACCCCTCCGGCCTGTGGGCCTGTGCCTGAGGAACACTATCATTTGAAGGTGCGACCCAAGAGTGACACAGCCCAGGGGGGCTCTGGAAATCCACAGGACGCCACCTTGGCTGCCAGCGCCCCCTCTGCAGATGCCGCCCCATGGGCAGGTGCCCCGGGCCGTGCCTGGGCTCCAGCAATGTTCACAACAGCAGCATCTTAGGGCTGGGAGGCTGCCCCAGGGCAGGTGGCTGGGTGGCATGAAGCACCTGAACCAGGCCGAGAGGAAGAGGCCTTAATGTCAGCCCCAGCCACTGAGCCATAGAGCATAATCCTGAGGACCTATTGGGAGCTGCTGGATCTGCAGCCCCGAGAGGGTTAAGTAAAAACACAAGATTCCCTTCCCTGCTTGCTGCCCCTGGAGGGAGGGGACCCAGGGGCCGGTCTGCCCACATTCCAGGGCCTACCAGCCCAGGGGTGCAGGGCAGAGGAGGGAGTCCAGGAACCCCTTCATCCTCCCAAGGTAGGGGATGCCCCCCAGACTGTGGCTCTGGGGACTTAGGCTGCTGACCCACTGACACATGGCACCCAATAAAGTTAGAGAATTAATTAACTCTTTCCACCTTTAACCCCAACTAGTGTATAAAAACAAGTCAGGGCTCTTTCACAAAACTAGCTGCTTCCTCCTACCCGAGCCCCAGCCACTCTCAGCATGTGATAAGACCATCAAGAGGCCTAGAGCTGAACAGACAACAGGAGAGTGAGATAAAGGTCTCTCCAGGATCCCTCGAGAGTGTGTGTGTGTTGGGGGTGGAGGGGCTCTGAGCCATTCTGTCCTCCCAGGCTCTAAGCACACTAGCTGTTAGAGCTAGCACGGGGAGGGGGGATGGATTCTGAGTCACACAGACTCTTAGTGGCTGAGGTGCCCAGCCAGGCTGCTTAACTGTTCTTGTGCCTTGGTTTTCTTGTCTGTCCGATGGGAACTGCACCCCCTTACTCAGATGAATGAGGGTCACAAGAGACCAAGCAGTGCTGGCTTACTTAGCGCAGTCCTGGGCTAGGGTGCACACTCAGTATTGGGGAGTTGTAAGCAGACAGGAGCTCCCTCCCAGAGAGGTGGTTAGCCCTGGGGTGGGGGGGACACGCCTCTCCATCTCATCCCACTCCTGGGGGCGAAGGATGCTGCAACCCTGGGTCAGTACTTAGGGACACCATTCTGGGGAAACCAAAGTCACCCTGGAGAATCCTCCCCGAAGGTCTCCACAGATGGGACAGGTAAATGTGGGGCATCACAGGGTACGAGAGTCCACAGAGCCATACCTGCCCCAGGGCTGGGACCCCCGGCACTTCTCCCTCCAGCAGCCCCAGGCAGAACTAGAAGAGATGGGGTCCTCTGGCCAGG